GCGTTTTCAGCATGAAAAAAACGACATAGTATAGTCATGCATTTTCAGCATGAAAAAAACGACACAGTATAGTAAGGCGTTTTTAGCCGAAAAAAACGACATCGTATCGTAAGGCGGTTTTGGCACGAAAAAAATGACATAGTATAGTAAGGCGTTTTCAGCACGAAAAAAACGACATAGTATAGTCAGGCGTTTTTAGCCGAAAAAAACGACATCGTATCGTAAGGCGGTTTTGGCACGAAAAAAATGACATAGTATAGTAAGGCGTTTTCAGCACGAAAAAAACGACATAGTATAGTCAGGCGTTTTTAGCCGAAAAAAACGACATCGTATCGTAAGGCGGTTTTGGCACGAAAAAAATGACATAGTATAGTAAGGCGTTTTCAGCACGAAAAAAACGACATAGTATAGTCAGGCGTTTTTAGCCGAAAAAAACGACATCGTATCGTAAGGCGGTTTTGGCACGAAAAAAATGACATAGTATAGTAAGGCGTTTTCAGCACGAAAAAAACGACATAGTATAGTCAGGCGTTTTTAGCCGAAAAAAACGACATCGTATCGTAAGGCGGTTTTGGCACGAAAAAAATGACATAGTATAGTAAGGCGTTTTCAGCACGAAAAAAACGACATAGTATAGTCAGGCGTTTTTAGCCGAAAAAAACGACATCGTATCGTAAGGCGGTTTTGGCACGAAAAAAATGACATAGTATAGTAAGGCGTTTTCAGCACGAAAAAAACGACATAGTATAGTCAGGCGTTTTTAGCCGAAAAAAACGACATCGTATCGTAAGGCGGTTTTGGCACGAAAAAAATGACATAGTATAGTAAGGCGTTTTCAGCACGAAAAAAACGACATAGTATAGTCAGGCGTTTTTAGCCGAAAAAAACGACATCGTATCGTAAGGCGGTTTTGGCACGAAAAAAATGACATAGTATAGTAAGGCGTTTTCAGCACGAAAAAAACGACATAGTATAGTCAGGCGTTTTTAGCCGAAAAAAACGACATCGTATCGTAAGGCGGTTTTGGCACGAAAAAAATGACATAGTATAGTAAGGCGTTTTCAGCACGAAAAAAACGACATAGTATAGTCAGGCGTTTTTAGCCGAAAAAAACGACATCGTATCGTAAGGCGGTTTTGGCACGAAAAAAATGACATAGTATAGTAAGGCGTTTTCAGCACGAAAAAAACGACATAGTATAGTCAGGCGTTTTTAGCCGAAAAAAACGACATCGTATCGTAAGGCGGTTTTGGCACGAAAAAAATGACATAGTATAGTAAGGCGTTTTCAGCACGAAAAAAACGACATAGTATAGTCAGGCGTTTTTAGCCGAAAAAAACGACATCGTATCGTAAGGCGGTTTTGGCACGAAAAAAATGACATAGTATAGTAAGGCGTTTTCAGCACGAAAAAAACGACATAGTATAGTCAGGCGTTTTTAGCCGAAAAAAACGACATCGTATCGTAAGGCGGTTTTGGCACGAAAAAAATGACATAGTATAGTAAGGCGTTTTCAGCACGAAAAAAACGACATAGTATAGTCAGGCGTTTTTAGCCGAAAAAAACGACATCGTATCGTAAGGCGGTTTTGGCACGAAAAAAATGACATAGTATAGTAAGGCGTTTTCAGCACGAAAAAAACGACATAGTATAGTCAGGCGTTTTTAGCCGAAAAAAACGACATCGTATCGTAAGGCGGTTTTGGCACGAAAAAAATGACATAGTATAGTAAGGCGTTTTCAGCACGAAAAAAACGACATAGTATAGTCAGGCGTTTTTAGCCGAAAAAAACGACATCGTATCGTAAGGCGGTTTTGGCACGAAAAAAATGACATAGTATAGTAAGGCGTTTTCAGCACGAAAAAAACGACATAGTATAGTCAGGCGTTTTTAGCCGAAAAAAACGACATCGTATCGTAAGGCGGTTTTGGCACGAAAAAAATGACATAGTATAGTAAGGCGTTTTCAGCACGAAAAAAACGACATAGTATAGTCAGGCGTTTTTAGCCGAAAAAAACGACATCGTATCGTAAGGCGGTTTTGGCACGAAAAAAATGACATAGTATAGTAAGGCGTTTTTAGCACGAAAAAAACGACCATGTATAGTAAGGCGTTTTTCGCCGAAAAAAAGGCCATGTATAGTTGGCATTAAGGCAAAATATTTGTAAATGTATTTCAGTGAGAGCCATATAAAAAAATTCCTCTCACCCCTCGGGTGGTGTCCGTCTGGCACTCAGCTCGGGTCCTCTACCATACTCACCATTAATGTGAATGGTTTTCCGTTCCTCACTGTTGCTCAAAATTCAGCAAAGGTCGCGGAAATATAGTCAGCTTGCCGGGTCCATATGCAGGGTTGCTAATGGCTAACTTGCACCGTGCTCAGTTGCTTGCACGTTTCCTTTCTGCTGTCTCCCGCTGGGTATGTTGATGCGAATGTAGCATGGTGCGTGTCAAAGTGCTGCTTTACATTCGACTGTTTCATCATGATTTTGTCATTGCAAATTAGACACACCGCAGAAGCTGTTCTCTCCACAAAGGCGAATCCTTCGGTCCATTCGTCCTCAAGTGTACCATACTCACCATCTTTCTTTTTCGCCATCTTATTCGTCGAAGGATTAGCTTTGAGCTAATGACGGTGCAGGCTGATTCAAAAGGGGGCGTTTACCTGTTTCCATAGCAACGGCCAACATGGGCCACGGTCATCCAATTAAAATCATTAACAACTGCTCCGACATCCAAATGCAGCCCTGAAGAGGACATGAGCGGTGAAAAATCGATGTAAGGATTAAACAAGCAAGAATATTTTGTTTTATCTGTGAGCCGTTTTTAGCTCCCAAAAAAACCGACCGACCGTGTTTAGTCAGGCGTTTCCCCCCCCCCCCCCAAAAAAACGCCCATGTATAGTAAGGCGTGTTTAGCCCCCAAAAAACAACAATGAATAGTAAGGCGTTTTTACAGCCAACTAAACTCCGACCATGTATAGTAAGGCGTTTTTAGCCCCCAAAAAACAACCATGACCATGTACAGTAAGGCGTTTTTAGCCGGAAAAAAACGACCATGTACAGTAAGGTGTTTTTTTTGCCGAAAAAAAGACCATGTATTGTAAGACGTTTTTTGGCGAAAAAAAAACGACCATGTATAGTAAGGCGTTTTTAGCCGAAAAAAACCACCATGTATAGTATAGTAAGGCGTTTTTTGCCCCCAAAAAATGACCATGTATAGCAAGGCGTTTTTAGCCGAAAAAAAAACAACCATGTACAGTAAGGCATTTTTAGCCGAAAATAAAACGACCATGTATAGTAAGGCGTTTTTTGCCCCAAAAAACGACCATGTATAGTAAGGCGTTTTTAGCCGAAAAAAAACGACCATGTATAGTAAGGCGTTTTTAGCCGAAAAAAACGACATAGTATAGTAAGGCGTTTTTTTGCCGAAAAAAACGACATAGTATAGTAAGGCATTTTTAGACGAAAAAAACCACCATGTATAGTATAGTAAGGTGTTTTTTGCCCCAAAAAAACGACCACGTATAGTAAGCCGTTTTTAGTCGAAAAAAAACGACCATGTAAAGTAAGGCGTTTTTGCCCCCCCAAAAACTATCATCTATAGCAGGGTTTCTTAACCTGGGTTCGATTGAACCCCAGGGGTTCGGTGAATCGGTCTCAGAGCCTCTGCCATGGAGGGTAAGGCACACCCAACTCAACATATCAATTAGTTCTGACACGCCCGCTTGGCCATCACTGGCGGGTTCATCTCGTGCACAATTAAAAAAGCCTTTACTTATGTCTTGAAATTTTATTTAGTTTTTTTTTTTCTGTTTTTAATAAATGCGTTTTTTTACGTCTCAAATTTGTAAAAAACAAAAAAAAAGAGAATTTTTTTTATTTTTCACTAATGACGGGTTCGGTGAATATGCATATGAACTGGTTGGGTTCGGTATCTCGACAAAGGTTAAGAACCACTTAAAATCTAAGGTTGAGATTTCAAATGCAGTTTCAAACTCGGGTTCGGGTTTAAACCCAAGGTTAGGGTTTCAAAGGTGGCTTTAAAACATGGGTTTGTGTTTCAGAGTAGCGTTTAAAACTAGAGTTTGTGTTGTCCGAACATGGAATGAGCCCACTGCCGTTCTGAGAAAATCTTTTTGACTGCCTGCAGGACAGCAGTTCCAAACTACGAATTGCATGGAGACCAACACGCGTCCAAGTGCGATGGCTCCCGACGCAAGCGCCTCTTCCTCACTGTGTACATTCTGACTGAAATGTTAAGATTTTTTTTTTAAACAGTCTCACACGTAAAAGCTTATGAGCTGGACTGTGAAAACCGTCTTCAGACTTCATCTTCATCTTCATCTCTTTGATGTTCCCTCCGCACGGCTTTCAAAGTCAAAACGTTCTCGTCTCCTTCGCAAACTTTTTTTGTTTTTGTTTTTTTTTTTTTGTTTTAGGTTTTTTTGTACATCCTTCGAAAAGTCCGCTAAGTGGCTGCGGTGCATCAGTGAGGGTAGCCGCTCGAATTCCACCGGTACCACGACCTGGAAAGTACACACACACACACACACACACACACACACACACACACCAACATTGTGTTACTTCGAGCCATCCAATTAATTCATTCATGACTTCATTGTGACAAAATGGAGTGCTTGGGTGATGAGATTAGTGGCAAATGGATTAGCATGACGACTTTTCTTCCTTTGAATTGAAATGGATCGAGATAACCAACTAGGCCTCGAGATGCCACTAGATGGCGACAAAACGCTTGAGACCATTGAGGATCATGAAGCCCCAACGTCATGCATCCGGCACGGACACCAACATGAACCCACGTTACATCAACGCGGATGAAAAATAATATTAGTTAGCATTACATCACATAAATATGTTTCATAATGAATACAGAGCAGTGGTTCAATGGTTCAACTCATCCGTGCGAATCAAACATACAGCTGAGACAGTGCTACATCGTAGTTGGCGGCCATTTTGTCGGAAAGGGTTTACGACAAACGACCGTTATAAGGCACGGATTCGTTATGTCCCCTGCAGGCAACGGTGGAACCATGTTGGACGCTATCGGTAAATAGGGAAGAGCTAAAATGGCTGCCGTTTTGCTCACCCCGGAGTGCTGTAAGATGCCGGGTTGACGTGAGCCGTTAACGAGGCCGAGGACATGGACAGGCTGTCGGGAGAAACTTCCCGGCTGACGCAGTTCGGGGACGAATTGGAGGAAACTGCAAAATAAAACAAGACTTATCAAGAAAAATACCGGCGCGCATCAGTTTGGGTGACACGCATCGGAAGTACGCAAGCGCCTGCTTACCTACGCCCGAAGCCAGCGGGCTGTACGATCGCGACACAGCGGCAGCCTACACAGGGAAAGGGGAAAAAAAAGTCAATTGAGCAATTTATTGAGTGTAAGAAAAAAAGAAAAACAAAAATGAATGTAAAGAGACACGTGAAAATGAGTTTCAAGGATTCCCTTCTTCAGAGGTCATCTGCTTATCATAAATCCAACAGCTGAAATGCAAACTAGTGAAGTTTAATGAGAAAACGTTTCGCATTTGAGTACACCACTTACTTTAATTCTAATGAATTGCCCAATGATGTGTCTTTTAAAAATGCTGCATAGAATGGTCATGACCCTCCATTGTTCTTCTTCTGATAAATGACTAATTATTAAAAACATTTTATATAATTGCTTAAAATGCAACAATAGGTATTTTTTTTTTTTTTACCATAAATAATTAATTGTAAGTGTATAATGAATTTTTTTAATCATGACTTTAGCAATTAATTTAGTCATTAAAAATGCTCAAGATTTTATTTGCTAACACCGTAACAGCTTCGGTTTGGTCATGAATTTCATTTGAATAAAAATGACGGCAAGAAAGGTGACAGATTCTGACCATCCTGGAGTTGTAGCTCTGCGTCTTGACGGGCAAACTGGTGACGGGGCAGTAGATCCTCTTCTCCTTTTGGCGCCGGTTGCAGAACCAAACCCGGACCACCTCCTTCTCCATGGCCAGCTGCTCCGAGATCAGCGTGATCTCTTCCGAGTTGGGCTTGGGGTTCTGCAAAGTCACAAGAGGGCCCACCGTTTGGCTTGTTCGGAATGAGACGCGACCGTTTTGAGCGGTGCGTGAGAATTGATGTCAAGAGAAAGTGGAGCATCGAGGGGGGGAAAAAAAGGACCGCTGATGTCACCTCATGTAAAAAAAAAAAAAAAAAAAAGGGGGGGGGGGCGAAGCCTACTCAAAGAGCTGCATTTTATTCGGGGCGAACGGTGAGCTCGACGGATGTGGCGACTCACGTCGAGGAAGCGCTTCTCCAGCGTCAGCTTGATGTTGGTCTCAATGCTGGTCCTCTTTTTGCGCTTGCGTCCGTAGCCTTCCATCAGCGGCGGCAGCGAGGCGGCGCTGTTCATGCAGTCCAACGGGGAGTTTTCTGAAAATGCAACCAACATTTTAAAAAGTTGACTTGAATGACCGTTGGTGACTTATAATGAACCAGTTGTTTCATAAATACAAATGTGAAAAGAATGTATTGGGGAAAAATGGCTTACAAATGCTCTTATTGGAATATTGACAATAAGTCGATTAGTCAATTATTTAATGACATAAATAACCAAAAGGGAAAATAAAAAAGTGTACATTTTTTAGAGCTTTGCGGCTGAAAAGTGGATTGGCGAATGAGGCTCTCCTTGCCCACAGCCAAGGGCATTACAGGTTTAAGTAAAAAATAAATAAATAATGTCAGGAAAAGCCTACTAGAACAACTTCCACCACATGATCTGAATTGTTTATTTTTCAATGCAACCCCTATTTGTATTTTTTTTTTTTTGCAGGATTTATTTTATTATAATTTTTTTTTTTTTTAAGGAATCTATGTTGGTCCAATTTATTTTTATGCATATCCCAAAACCTGGCCTTGGTAGGGTTTGTGTGGACAGGAGCCCGCGCGCGCTCTACCTGCGTCACTCAGCCACTTCTCCAGTAGAGGTTTGAGCTTGCACATGTTCTTGAAGCTCAAGTTGAGCGCCTCGAAGCGCGAGATGGTGGTCTGGCTGAAGTCGTTGCCATAGAGTTTGCCCATGGCCAGGCCCACGTCGCCCTGCAAGAAGTCCCGCGACGGCGTCAGATGCGGCGGCGGATGTTTTCGGAGGGCGGCCGGCGTTACCTGCGTGAAGCCCAGTTTGATGCGTCTCTGCTTGAAGGCCTTGGCAAACTGCTCCAGCTCCTCCAGGTCGCTGGGTTCTTCCTGGGGCGGGACCGACATGTGTTTGGCCATCTGCAGGTGCGACATGTCCAGTTGGTTGTCCATCGACGGGCCGAGCAGGCCCGAGCGACTCATCACCTGCGTCGCAAACGACAACTGGCTCAGATTCCCACGCGTCACGAAACGTTGCTTCAAGCTTATCAATAGAACGCAAGAGAAAACAAAACAAGTCTTCTTTTTTTTTTTTCCATGTGGTATCGTGTTGATGTAATCAAGAGCTTCTCGGAAGAAGCTCGCTGACGTCCAGCTTGAAATGATTCATGACTTTAAACCTCCCATCCACGATGTCGAGCTTGGTACAGATGGTAAACGCCTTGTGTACATTTACCTGTGGAGCCAAAGCCAGGCCGGGCTGATGCTGCAAAAGACCGTTCTGGTTCTGCACCGGAAGGGACATCAGGTTCTGCTGCAGAAGAGCTGCGGTGGACAGCAAGAACCGGGTTTTGATCGGGTAGGCGGACTTAATTGTGCGGCCACATTTTTTTTTTTTTTTTTGTAGCGGCGATCATCACCTTGGTGGCTGGGGGGGTTCTGGGACAGCAGGAAGGGCGGCGGAGACGACAGGTGAGACGGTGGCATCAGGACCAACTGCTGCATGCTGTGCAGGGACGTCAGGTCCTGATCGCCACGGCAACGGTCAGGATTAATGCATACGTAGTGGATGGATCCACAACACACCATCGAGCCATCCACCCGTCAATCAATTCATGGAGGCCATCCATCATCCATCACCATAGATCGTTCCATTCACCAGACACGATACACCCATCATCCATCCGCCATTCTATCAATTACTAAATACTGTCCAGTAGGCCACCACCATCTATCCATTCGTCCGTCCGTCCGTCCATCCCAATGAAATCAAAACCGATTTGGGTTTTTTTTTCTCATTTTATGATATTTCCTTTTACCCCAGTCATGTGAGAAGCGTGCATGGCGGGGCTCTGCGTCATGTGACATGTCTTCAGCGAGGAACTCAGGTGGGACGCGTCGTTGATGTCCTCGGTCTTTATCTGCAACGACACCCCGCCGCAAAGCAGCGTGACACATCTCACCAAAAGTACAGCGCGTGCTTGTAAGGTTACGAGTGCATGCAGTTCTGCGTCTTAGTGTGTGTGTATTCGCTTACTCCAGGACCAGTTTGGTCGCTAAACAAGATACGAGTGACAGACTCCCTCCCCTTGGGCGAGCCACTATGCAAATAGACACACACACGCACACACACACACACACGCAGCCTAAACCCCGCCACCCACAGCACCCCCTGAAAGCAGTGACACTTCCTGGAGAAAAAAAAAAATAAACAAACATGTGGAAAGAAAAAGTCCCCGCTGTCCAAAAAAAAAAATGTTTGGAGAAGTTGCCAAATAGCTGCAAACTATTTGAGGTGATTCGGGAGTGCTGAGAGAAGGACGAGAGAGTCATTATTGACACGGGAGGTGTGGTGGGCAGGGGTACAGTGTCAGGGGAGGGGTTACAGGTGCTGGTTTGTCCTCAGGATGTTGTCTGTCCCCCCAAAAAAAGAGTGTATGAAAAGAAGAATTCCTGGAGTAAAGGCGCGGTCAATAACAGGGATGCTTATCTTGCACGGCTTTCTCGGCTTGTGCAATTTAAGAAGGGGTTGGCTCTGAAAGTCCCGTTCGACCAAAACGGTGCGTGGAGAGGTGATAACAGCCATCACATAATTAAACAAAATTGAAATAATGTCGTTGGTCTATATGTGTTGCTTCGCTGTTGTGTTTTCAAACATCTGTTACGTAAGATTTATAACTACTGCAACAGCGATGCTCGTTACGCAAGCACGTCGATGGCATTTTGCACTGGGTATGGGCATGAAGCTAAAAGGCTTTTGTAAGTTACATAGTCTGGTTGACTTCATGTGTAATTCTCTTTGTTTTATGTTTAGTTTGACCGCAAACGTCTACTGTGGTGGCATTCAACGGGTTGAAGCCTCTTTTTTGAGAATCGTTTGCTATCTGCCGGACTCGCCGAACTCCTGCTCGTTGTTAAGTGAATGAGGTCACTCGCCACCAAACAGCAATTCCATTTCAACTTTTTTCTCTCAAGTCAAACCCAAAAAAAAAAAAAAAAAAAAAAAAAAGATAAAACAAAACCCACCGCCCCAGAACAACAACCCCTATTCGTGAAAAAGCCCAATTCTAGTCCATATTTTTAATTCTTTTTTTTTTTAAATATATTCATTGTGATTTTAATAAGTGCTAAATGGTTGTCCTTGCTGTCGTACAATAATAATAAAAAAAAAATCATTGACTTTAAATCAGTCGCTCATTTTTATCATCTATTTGCCAAACAGTCAAAAAAGCCTCATAAAGAAAATAAATAAATGGATATATCAGTGACTTACCTGTCGATGGAATCCGATTCCTTTTTGCTCTGAAAAGACAAGAAGAGAGTAAACGTCTTTAATCACCACATTAGGTCATAACAATTAAGAAAGAAATGATGCCTTTGCAAAATAATAACTTTGACACGAACAAACACAAGAGGCAGAAACGTTTAGGGACTTCATGTTGTACGCTCTCGTTGTGTGTGTTAAAAGTCGCAGTTGTCTGGACGTTTGTCATTGATGCTAATTTTCATGTTAGCATGAAGCGAGTGGACTTTAGCTGGTTTGGTTGCACATTTTACGGTTTACCTAAACAATGTTTAAAGGTTTATCATTACAGCAACCTCACTGCTAACTTCTGTTAGCATGTGGATGGCGTTTTGTATTTTTTTTTTTTTTTTTTTTTTTTAGCATTAAGCTAGCAGACCTTTGCTGGTTTGTTGGAACATTTTACAGTTTAAATATGCAGGGTTAATAAATTAAAAAGGTTTACAAATTACTGTAACATCAATGCTAATTTGTATTAGCTTGTCTGTGGTCTTTTCTATTGTATAAACATTAAGATAGCCGACTTTCCGTAGTCTGGCGGAACATTTGGGTGTTTAAATATTTATCGGTTTATAATTGCTGCTACATCAATGCCTATTGATGTGAGCTTGTCTATGGCGTTTTGTATTTTGTATGTAGTTTGGTGTTTAAGTGCATACAATGTTCCATGTATTTGGTTTCACGAGTCAGTTTTATCGTAAACTTCAAGTGGGAGCGACAAATGGGAAAGTGCAGGTGTACTGCTGGGACCATTGCAACTGATTTCGTTTAACTACAAGGCAGACGTGACCTCGCTCTCTCACACACACACACACACACACACACACACACACACACACACACACGTGCACACACACAAACAGACGTAAATAGTACGTGGACGTTTAAACAGGCCACAGTTCAGTGTGTGAGGATGCTGACGGACGAAGCGGAGAGTTCGGTGGGTGTGGCCCCATTTGAATGTCAAATGGGGCTCTCTATACGTGCATGCGTGTGCGTGAGATGAGAGAGAGCGCAGACACACGAACATCACATCATGCAAATCCACTTCCAAGCCCAACAGCGGACCACTCGCCCCCGCCAACTCGAATGCCCCCCAGCACCAACCACCCCACCCCCGCCTGAGGACAAGCATGCCGGATGGCAAAGTTCCAGTATGAAAATGACCATGAAATGCAAATGTGACTCTAGAGGAGGGATAGCTACCAACACATGAAGGGGAAAGAAAAAAAATCAAAAATTAAAAACACGCCACTCTTTTCGGTGAAGTTCACCTGGCATGTTCAAATGTTATTTAAAAAATTACTCATGGATTTTTAAATAACTATGAAAAAAACATCCAAATTAAATTAAAAATTAATTTTATATTGCGTTTTTGTTTATGGCTTACATGAGTTGAACAAATATGGGGGAGAGCATGATATAGAATGAAAATAGGCCTTATTTTATTTTAACTATTATTTTAGAATTTTGTTCAATTAAATACGAGACTGTACTTCTGTCAAAGTCGTCAAAAGAACAAATTATGACATTTTAGAAAACGACTTTTTTTTTTTGCATCACATTTTCAAAACATTTATGATGACCCGTTTGAAAATTTTGATTCAAAAGAACGGACAATAAAAAAAAGCCTTCATTTATTTGGTTTTCATGGCGTGACATATTTTCATGTTTGCCTTGTGAAGAAGAACCGCATTTAAATGACTATAATAAAAGACATTAAAAATGAATATTGTAATAGTTGACTGGGTAACGCTGGTTTAAATAAATATGAATGAATGCGACATTTTATTTCAAGTGACACGATGGCGGCTGAGATTTGTATTTCATTTTATTTTGAATGCAAACGTTCCTAATTTGACACTATTGTTCAACGTGAAACACTTCTAATTGAGTTGCGGTCATCATTATTTATTTGCACTGAAACACTTGGATTGTAGCACTACATTTTGCAAACTTGTACAAGAACGGGGGGTGGGGGGGGGGGGGGAACCAACAAATGAGTTGATCCATTTTTGTTTGCAAAGGGTCACATTCACGACAGTGTGTTTTTATGTTCCAGTTCCCGACGGGTGTGGCTGCGTATCTAAATAAGTATTTATTCATGTATATCTCAGAATGATCACACGCCTTTGCTAGAAGGGCTACAATTAAAACTAAAATATTTACCCAAAAAAAAAAAAAAAAAAAAAACCCTGCAAACATTCCGATCAAAGATGAAAAGTCTGTGAACCGGGGGGGTGGTAAAAACATCAATCCGATCCAGCCAGCCTTCACTCCAGGCGAGGGCTGGCACCTTTTTTGCAATTTTCTCATTACGGGGGAGAAGAAGAATACATATTTGTTCTTCCAAACAGCTTTGGGAGAGGAGGGCTCCTTCACACCTGCGCAGGGTCCTTCATTCCATATCCTCCGTCTCCACATGAAGGTCCGCGTACTCGGACCATCTTTGTCCTTAGTCGTAAGACCCTTCGACGCACTTGGGGGACTACGAGCCGTAACGATATCTTCGATATCAAGGATAGTGAATAAAACCCGTGGCGGTTCTCATATCCTTCAGAGCGAGTCAATGCGAAAACAAAAAAAACTGATTTTGTTGACATCATACCCATGCACAAAAGAAATTGATACGGCGGGTCGCGAATAAACACTCCAATAAATGCGCAAATGTATTTGCAAATGTCAAAGGCTTTGCGAGTGGAATTCTTTTCCATTCTGGCTTGCTTCAGCTGTTCAACATTCCGTCGCCGTATTTCACGCGACACTTTTTTTTTTTTTTTTTTTACCATAATTTGAAATGCGGACTCGTCAGACCACAGAACACTTTTTCCCACTTTGCATCAGCGCCCGTCTCGGATGAAACTCGGGGCCCCAGAGAAGCCGGCGGCGTTTCTGGCTGTTGTTGAGAAATAGCGTTTACTTTGCATAGTCGACTTTGAAGTTGCGCTTACTTACCCCCAACTGGATTTACCGACATTGCTTTTCTCACCTACATAGTTTTTTTTTTTTTGGTTTGTTTTTTGACGCAGTGGCACCCTAGGGATCAAAGGTCACGGCCATTCAATGTTGGTTTTCGGCCTTGCTGCTTCCATGCAGTGATTTTTTTACAGATTCTCTGACACTTTTGATGAGATTATGGACCCTACATTCCTTGCAATTGTACGTTGGGGGAACATCATCCTGAAATTGCTCGACTGTTTTCTCGCACGGTTGTTCACAAAGAGGTGAACCTCGCCGCACGAATGCCCGAGTGGCATTTTTCTAGCCAATCATGGCACCCGCCCGTTCCCAGTTCGCCTGCGGGGTGTTCCAAGCAGGTGTTTGATGAGCATTCCGCAACTTTTTTTGCCAGCTGTGCCGGCTTTTTGGGAACAAGTTGCGACCATAACATTCAAAGTTTACGATTTGTTCCAAACAATTAAAGCTGAAATATAGGTTGACGATGATTTGCAAATCGTTTTTTTTTGTTTTGTTTTTTTGACGTGGAACACAACGCCCCCAACTCCGTTGGAATTGGGTTTGTAAATGAAATGGACCCCGACGACTTCTCCGATCTTATACGTGTCGTTTTTGCTTATTCTAAGAATCGGAAGATGTCGATTCCACGTCCGCTCTCTTTATGAGACTTTTTTTTGAGGATTTGACTCTTTTGTCGGTAAAACGTTATTGTGGTCAACCGGCAACGCGGCAACACTGTGCCATTGTTTGAAAGGAAGTTCTGCATTTCTGTTGACAGTTCCCATTTATTGTTTTGTATTTTGTTGCCGTCCTCGGCCGCGAGGCAGCCGGCATTTCTCAGCAAATAAGCCTCAGGGCCATCCTGGTATGGCGACCAACTGCCACTGTACGCGCACGCACGCACAAACAAGAGAGTTCTCCGCGGGTCCAAGGGGGCCAATCCTTGTTTGCAAGACGAGGCTTCGCATATTGATGTATTCGTTTATTGTTTGGGCCTTCGCTGAAGGATGGACAAATTTTTGGGGATGATGTCAACCCTAGTGCGTGTTTTTTCCCTATTTTTACGCCTGTGATAATTGAATTTTAAAAATTTGGACAAACTTTTTTTTTTAAATTTCCATTAGCCCGCCTATGGTTTTTTGTTTTTTTTTTGCTTTTTTTTGTTTGTTAAGCAAGCACAATTTTGTTAAATGAAGTTACATGGTTGGAGTCAACACCTTATTAATTCTCTTTTTATTTGATGAGTCGGTTTTACAATAAGCCTGAAGTGTCTCCAAAAAAAAAAAAACAAAAAACGACGCAAGCACCCTTGGGTTCTTTTTTTTTCTTCTCATTTTCGCATAGTGATGTTATATGACAGTCTGCCATTCCTCGACGAATACCGAGGCCCGGAGAACTACTTTGAAACGCGTTAATATTAATGATGCCAAAATGATTCATGTGGGCTTTTCATCACTTTCATCTCCTCACAATAAACCCTTGCGTCAATTTATTGGGCACGGCCAGGAACGAGAAACCAATCCGCCTGCTACAAATGCTCATGAGAACGTCATGGGTTTGTCAATGGAATTTGTAAGATGTCGACACCCCAACGCCTTGCCCACTTATTTCAAATGAAAATTTGCCTTTAGAAACAAAACGGTGATGAGCGTCTAAAAATCACCATGGAAGTAAATGGCAGCTTTAAGCAACAGCGGCGGTCATTTAGCGCGCGGCGTGATTTTTAGATCGCTGTACACGTACGTGTCAATATATACTCTATATGTAAATACATATACACACATATAAATACACACGATCATACTTAAGAAAAATATTGTCATTTCGAATGGTGTAATTCATAACGTTATTTTTACTTTACAGTCATTTCTTTGTTTTTTTTAATTTTGAGTTTTTACGTTATCTCATAAAATGCCCGACTCTCATTTAAGTTCAAGGAGGACTCATCCCAAGTCTTAACGACTTTCCTGAACCTTCTGAATTAAAAAAAAAAAATTTTAAAAAGCAATCGCGACTTGCTCTTACGAATCATGCAGATAAAACAACAAACCAGGCATTTCGGATAGAGAGTAGAACATGGGCTCACTTGTCTGCTCCGCCTGAGCGTCCGACTGCTCCAGAGTGTCTGCGCTCATCTTCCTGACCTGCGATGATCAAACACACTTCAGCTGATTTTCCTACTCGCCATATCAGCAGGACAAAGGCTCAGGAAAATCACCACCACGTTATTCTAATGAGGCCTCACCGCCGCCGCCACCACCACATAATGAGCTGCTTATAATATTCATCGAAGGAGACTCCCAGCAAAGCATAACAAAAAGTTTTTTTTGGGGGGGGGGAGGGGGTTGGGGGTGAGAACCTACCTGAAGTGGCTGTTTAGTGATGCAAGAATGGCGAATCCGTCAACGCTGGTGCTCCTTGTAGGACTTACTTTGGCATTTTCCAGAGTGGAGGAAGGCTCACCTGCGCGCGGCGCTTGTACAGCGGCTGCCCGAGACGCTCATTTGCATACACCGCCGCGCGTCCTATCGCGCTCCGCACGCTTTGCATAAAACAACAACGACGAGGCCTACTGCGAAAGCGCACGCTCCAAAGTCTCACTGCCGGCGCCTTCTGTGTGGGAAGAACGAGACAAGTTGGTGAGAGAGTGACTCGACATTCTGGCAAAAGTCCGTTCGTGACAATCAGAGGTCGCAAAAGTATTCATATGCGCTCACGCCGGACTCAGGTGCAGATATTTGTCAATGATGATTCGGTTCTGCATTGACCTTGATCTTGACAAGAATGGAGTTGGCCCCCTCTAGTTGTCAGTGGCTCAATTATATGCCGCTTGTCCTTATTAAGACAACTGAAGTAGCCATTATTTTCACCACTATTTTTTTCCCCCATTTTTGGTTGTTTTTAATCATTCAATATTTTAATCATTCAATATTTTTGACTGTTAGCCAATTTATCACTGTTTTTTTTCCTTTCTTCTTTCATAATTTGACCCCCCCCCCCACACCACCAAAAAAGACATCAGAGCACGGAGCAGAAATTTTGCCATGAATTCTGCTTAGCAACAAGTGAGAGCGGCATTTAAATGTATAGTGTGCTCTAGAAATCCTGCCTAGCAACAAGTGAGAGTACCAAAGTTTGAGGGGAAAAAAAATCAGGAATGAGGGCAAACCTAATCGTGTCTCACATGATTTATTAAAAAAAAAAAAAAATAATAACAATTTTTTTTAAAATAGGGGGTTTACTTTCCAAACGTCCGATGGTGCTTCAAGTGTTCATAAGAGTTCTTTTTCATGTTGGACCCGTCCCCCCAAGTCCCACCTCAGTGGATTTTGGTCGGCCCACCCCACAGCTAGCTTGAAGGCGCTCTTGCATTCCAACTCAGAGGAGGGACTTGACGAGCGCCACCATGTGGTCGACACCACACGCTACATCCACCACTTGACCGGGAACAGTCACCTGGACACAACACAGACACTTCCATGAAACATCATTATTCTGTGCAGTTTTTTTTTTCTTACTAAAATGTGTCATCTTTATTTTGTGTGTTAATTTTAGTGTGTTTTTTCCAAATACATGTAATATGTTTTATTAAATTAAAACACCGGTTACGAAGTATAAATGTAGGGGTCACGAACGATCCCATGAAAAATGAGCATGAATTATTTTGGGATTGCGAATTAAACTCTTTATTATTATCATTATTTGATTTATTGCACACAAAAAGGGTTTTTTTTTTGTTTTGTTTTTTTTAATTTATTTATGTATTTACTAATTGTGAACTTCATGCCCCCACTGTCCCCCGGCGTCTCCCTTACTCGCCATGGGAAGAACTGATCGTCCCTCTTCCCGATACCCAAACACCCTCGGAGGTTCTTCCCCCACACGAAGAGTTCGCCACGATCTGCAATCACCCAAAAAGCATCAAGCGAGTCGTTTACCCCAGGTTGCGGCGTCACATCGTAGGAAGCCGACAATTTACCCGTGACAGCGGCGAAGTGACCGAGGCCACATCGGAGCTTGCTGACAACGACGGAGGGGTTGAAGTCAGAGCGTCCGAACAGGGACGGGGGGATCATCTCGGGGGAGCCGGACTCTGATAGCGAGGGGCCTTTGCCCAGAATTCCGTAGCCCCATACAAACACTTCGCCTCGCTCTGAAACAAACAAACCAAAAAAAATGGCAAATAAGGTTTGCAAAAACAGCAAAATGCAATTGGTGGAGAAATTGCGTGCGGATACTGAAGATGCTGAACCGAAATGTGGTGAAGTGAATTCAATCGATGAAATAGAGAATGTCAAGACTTGGAGTTAGTTGAGAAGTGTGTGTGAGGGGGAAAAAAAAAGGACGCATTTTTTTTCCAAATATCTGTTTTAGTTTGGACAGACTAACCATTGAGGACAGCCACCTGTGTGCCTCCGCATGCAGCCTGCACCACCCGACCGCAGCCTGGCAGGGACAACCGACGAGGGGAGTTGATCTAGAAAGCAAAGGTGCAACCGTCAAACTTTGCCTAGCAACAAGTCACGAACATTATTAAAAAAAAAAAAAAAAAAGATTCCCTACAATCTGGTCGCGCTCACCTGGGTGGTGTCCGTGACGGAGGCCAGCTGAAGGTATTCAGAGTTTCCCCACCCGTACAGCTGTCCGTCGGCGGACACGGCCAGGCTGCAGTCTGCGTATGTGCTGACCTGCTGGACCTTCACCCCCGACAGCTCCCCCAGCACCTCGGTCGGGGTGGGGCACACCTTGTGGTGCCCCAGACCTGCAAGCACCAAATATCTTGAGAGTTCTCAATATGAGACAATGTGCAATAACCTGGACAGATATATATCTCGATATTAGACAAACAGACCCGTCTGTCCGTCCGCTCCCCACCCACAGGCGTAGACCCGCCCCGCCTCCGTCAGCAAGAC